GCCCCACGGTGTCCCCCAGCGCCCGGCCCTGACTGCCACGGGAGAGCGCCCCCTGCCCAGCCCCTCACCCTCCTCCCTGCCCCACGGTGTCCCCCAGCGCCCGGCCCTGACTGCCACGGGAGAGCGCCCCCTGCCCAGCCCCTCACCCTCCTCCCTGCCCCACGGTGTCCCCCAGCGCCCGGCCCTGACTGCCAGGGCAGAGCGCGCCCCACCCTCCTTCCTGCCCCATGGTGTCCCCCAGCGCCCGGCCCTGACTGCCATGGGAGAGCGCCCCCTGCCCAGCCCCCCAACCTGTTCCCAGCGCCCAGCCCTGACTGCCAGGGGAGAGCACCTCCTGCCAAGCCCCCCGTCCCACTCCCCATGGCACAGTGCCCCCCAGTGCCCACCCTGCCTGCCCGGGGCGAGTGCCCCTTTCTGGCCTCTCAGTCCCTGCAACCCCACCCCGCATTACCTCTAAGACCATCCGGATATTGGCCTTGATTTTGGCGGAGTCCTTGGTGAGGGATTCGCTGAGCCTGCGCAAGAGAGACGCCCGATGGGGCAGTGTTAGGAGATGGGGGGGCCCTGCACATTCTGGGGTCCCCTTTCGCCCTGCATGGACCGTGACTGAGGTGGGGCCACCATTTTGCTGGGTCCCGCACAGACCCAAGGAATTCTGGCCCGTGCCCTGGTTAGCTCCCAGTGTCAGAATGCAGCTGCCTCTGGGGTGGGGACAAGCTGGGGAACAGCTGCATATAACGCCGCGGAGGATGGCTTGTCCGGTTCTGGGGAGGGGTGGCTGGGGACCAGCCCCACGGAGGGAGGGTGTGGGGCGGGGGATCGTCTCCCCCACTCACTCGATCAGTAACTTGGTTTTCCTCTCCACGAAGCGCAGCGCCTCCGTCAGCGTCAGCTCCGCGAAGAACCCGTAGCCGAGCGCCACGAAGATCCTGGAGGTGTCAGGCCTGCGAGACGAGGAGATTTTGGGGGGGGTCATGCAGTGGAGGGGGTGGGGGCCCCGGCCACACCGAGTGCCTGGGGGGCAGCACTGTGGGAAAGCAGGGAGCTGAAGAGAGCACCTGGTGGGGTCTGGGGGGAAGTTTAGGGGACCTGAGGGGGGCAGGAGGATTCTGCGGGGGTTGGGGGAGCAGGATCAGATGCTGGGGTGTAGGGGTGACGCTCTGGGGGTGGGAATTAGAGGGTGGGGGGATGCGAAGGGGGCCCAGGGGCCAGGGGAGGGGGTGTGAGGAAATATGTGGGGTCCTGGGGGAGTTCCGAAGGGGGCCAGAATCAAGGTGGGGGGTGAAGGGGGGTCCCGGGGGAAGGCGTCGAGGGGGGTGGAAGTTAGGT